GTCCTTCCCAAGGACCTGGGATAGACAGATGTTGTTGTTTGATGGTGTTAAAGGTATTGTCGCAGGTTCCAAGTAAAGCTGCCTTTTGCAACTGACTGATGGTGATTTTGTCAATGCCAATGGTCTTCAAGTGGTGCTCCAGATGTCTTAGGATTGCATCTAAGGTGCCTATTACTATTGTTACTATCTTTGCTTTCTTTTGCCGCAGTTGTTCTACTTCTATTTGCAGATCTTTATATTTTGTGATTTTCTCCAGTTCTTTCTCTTCTATTCTGCTGTCTCCAGGCATTGCAATGTCCACTTTCCAGACTTTTTTTTGTCTTTCTTATCAACAATTGTTAAGTCTGGGGAGCTGTGTGGCAGGTGCTTGTCTGTTTGAATTCTAAAATCCCAGAGCGCTAGCTTCTTCCTTTTCTATTACTTTGTCTGTTTTGTGGTCCCACCGGTTCTTGCTTGCAGGCAAATGGTATTTCTTGCAGATATTCCGAATCATCATCGTTATTATCATTATTAGTCAGTATGCTGCAAAATAAAGTTCTGGCTTCATTTAGGACTATTAAATATGACTTGCAAACATCCATATAACCACTAGATGGCAGCAAAGATTCTTTGCTCTTAGTATTTAGTGGTCCTTTGCAGCCAAGATCTGGTAGTTTTAGCTCTACAGTAACATTTTTATTTCTGATAGTACCTCTGGGTTCAAATGAGTCCTATGAAGTTTTTTTTTTTTTTAAAATAGATCATGCTCACAGCCCAGTGTTTGTCCGAAGTTAAGTAAATCTGCTCAGGAAAAAAAAAAGACAAAGATTAGTAGTTATAGTAGATCGTGCATGTGTATATGTCTTTGTATGCAGTAGAGATGATGGCAGGAACTATTACAGCAAAATGGTGCTTTGAATCTGATTACATCCCCTTAGCAACAATGAATGAATGGGCACCCAGTATGGCAGATTAACTACAACATGTTCTCAGAATTTTCAATCTATTAACCTAGAAAAGTTGACTTGGAGATGACTGCTTTTTACCCAGAAATTACTCAGAACAGAATGGTATAGAACAGTTTTTCTCAACTAGAAGTTGAATAGTAGTATGTGTTCTACAGGTAGCACACAGAAGTAGCCTAAATGGGACATGACTCTCCACACAAATGAAAAAAGGACTCATGAGAAGTACTTCCGGGGAAGCAATGGTGGACTGAAGATGGCTCCGCAAGAGCGGAGCTGATGACCGTGGTGGAAAGAGGAGCCAGTGAATGGATTAGCTCCTCAGAATTATTCTCCGGAGCAAGGAGAGGACCAGGATCACCCATAAGTGCTCCATACAGTGGCTTCCCATGAGGAGAGCATAATACAGCAGTCTCTGGAGGGTTTTAGAGCTCTGGGAACTGTGGGAAAGTCATCTCACCTAAACAGCAGTTCGGTGCCTTCAAAATGACACTGGGTTTGCATACTTTAGGAAATTGCTTGTTAATGGCTTTTTGGATGTTAAGAACCTTCAGAAGAGCAAGTTTCATTCTACTGTGTGAGTTTCCTTCTATCCTTGACGAAAGAAGTTTCATGCAAGTTAGGGTCCTTAAATAGCAAAAGGATGACTAGAACGTTGATTTTGGAAAGCTATAAGTGGATTATGGGGCCAGATGGATTTGAAATAAGTTCTTGAAATTATTACAATACTTCATGTTAGTTGTTTAAAATTTTACAAAAAATATATATGAAGATTTTGAAACTAACTGTAAGAAATCTTCCCATAGGAAAGTGTTGTTGATTTAAAAAAAAAACATGATAAGAGGGGACTTTGAAGGTTGACTAGAGGGAACTAGAAGGAACTAAACATTATAATTAAAGAAGAAGAGACAGATTAATACAGAATGGAGCAATGTTATTTATCTGTGGAAGAATTCAAAGATATTTGAAACAGTGCACTCAGTAATTACTCTTAAGAATGTCTGCTATTATAAAAGTGGATTCAAAAGAAGTTATGGAAGAGGATCAGATTTTACTGGATAAAACAGACTGATGCTGATTTGAATGTGGATCTGAAAATGGATTAAAAAATGTCAGGCTACAAGAATGATATGGAAAATGATGTTACACTGGATTTATAAATGAAACTGGCTGATGTCTTAATAATTAAAGGGGACATACAAATAATAAATCAGAAGAGTGACTTGGATAGCTTTCTTATTTTGGATTTACAAAAGAAACATGTTAAACTTGTGAAGGAGTTTCTGAGAGGAGACAAAGAGAAAATGATAAGAAATCAACTTGTGGGACCCTATTTGAAGGGATTAAAGATCAAGACTCTTAAAAGTAAATGAAAGGAATACAAAATGGGTTTATTTGATCAAGGTTTATTTTTTTAAAAATTTATATATATATATATATATATACTTTCTGGTAGCTCTTAATGGACTTTTCTTTGACTAGGACCAAATGCCCAGGCTTTGAAGATTTGTTTATAGATAAGAGATAAGATATGGGAAGAAGAGATTTTTTTTTGCTGTACTTTTAGAGAAAGTGATGTTACTATGTTAAAAATAAAGGAATTTAAAACTGATTTATATAGTTTATATATAACTGTAAGGTTTATATATATAACCTATATATAAGGTTAAAACATATATGTTACTTCTGGTAACTCTTAATGAACTTTTGCTGATTAGGACTGAATGACAAGGTTTTATAATTTGTTTATTGATAAGAGATGAGATATGGGAAGAAGGGATCTTTTGTTGAAATATCAGAGAAGGGGATAAGCTACTGAAGTTTGTACTTGTCTTGATGGCGGGGGAAGTCATTTCTTTATATATCTTTTTTCTCTTTTTTCCCCTTTTTCTCTGCATTTTTCCCTTTTTCTATTTTTTTGGTTTGTATTAGTTTTTTCCCCTTTGTATTTGTAAACTTCAGTAAAAATTATTATAAAGATAAAAAGGGGCCCCATGAGAGACAGGATACCAGGGGAGGGCAGAGCCCTCAGTCTCTAGTCAACTCTGCTGAAGCTACGGAACTGAGTAACTCAGCAGAGCAAGGTTGTTGATAAGCTTCTGAAAGGGTCTGGCTTAAGAGCCAAAATAAAACAATTTGCACTAATTCCTGCTTGCTCATAATTCCACTATATTTGGAGGGTTAGGAGAAGCAGTAAACACTGCTTCAGCCCAAATAGGCTTCACCCATTATTTTAGTTACAACACTATTGTCAGCAGCATTATTACATTTTTTAATGTTCTTAAACTTACCTTAACGGAAAGATATATATATAGCACCAGAATACCTATGAACACACACATGCATATATATCCTCAGGAAAAAAAAAGTGTGTGTGTGTGTGCTGTTATTTTCTATCAATGGGGTTCAGGTTACTTGACAGAGTGATCAGAATGATTTTGCATATAAACGAATAAGAGTAGTGGCATTATAAAAAAACAAACAAACTGAAAGAAGGCGATGAAATTAAGCAAAGCACAAACCACATCTATTCAGGAGTTACAAAGCAACCGTATACCCACTCAGAAATAAGCTTTATTAATCACTGAGACTCGTTCCAGATAAACTGTCACGGAAATGCCACCCTAGGCATATTTGCACGGAGGAAACTTCCACGGCATTCAGTGAGGCTGCCGCCTCCCTCTATTTAACTGCACACACGCACGCTGATTCGGAACAAGCGCTACTGAATACAGTTGAAACTTACATCAGAGCAAGCATGCCCAAATGAGCCGGCTGGCACACACGGGCCACCTCAAGATGACAAGCCTTTCGTCATTTCTGCTCGGCCAACACTGGCGCGAGCTCCTGCCGCCGCCCGCGCTTTCTGTTTTGTTTTCTTTGTGTTCCGTCCCGGCCGCCAGGATTCTGTCTATCCAAGCGCGCTTCCTCCCTCTTTCGGCGTGCCTGCCCCTTTAAAAGCCTCCCCTCCCAGCCGCGGCTGCCGTTAGCCCGAGAGCGCAGGGGGCGGGGCGCGTCGCTGAGCGGCGTCTCGCAAAGCCAACGGGCAGCGGGCAAGGAGGCGGGCACTGCGGGGGTGTCTGTCGGGTTAGAACGAGGCGTGACCCAGTTGACGCGCGCTGGAAGGAGAGGGGAGTGGGAAGGAGGCTGAGGTGCAAACAGCCGCCGCCGCCAACGCCGCCCTCGCCACCCCAGCGGTGCCGTCGCCCAGCCGGGTCAGCGTGTTTCCTCCTCGCCCGTGAGCCTGGGGAACCTGCAGCTCAAAGCCGCCGCTAGCCACAGCACCATGTACCCCGGGAACAAGCGGAAAAAGCTCTGGCGGGAGGAGAAAGGTACTGACCTCCTTCACCTGAAAAGCGCCGGGGCTCCTCGGGCGCGCGGAGGGCGCAGGGGGTCCCCAGCGCCGCCTCTCCCACTCGTGCTGCCTTCAGGAGGCGTGCGAGCAGAAGATGCTCCTCCGCCTGCTCACCGCGCGAGTCGGCGGTCGCTGGCTGCTCTCACCTGAGCGACGTTGCCTTCCTCTTGCCTCCGCCGCGTTACCTTGGCGGAACAGCCGCGCTCCTCCCCTTCCATCGCTGTCCTCCTGGCTTAGCTTGCGCTTCCTTCTCTCCGGTGGAGGAGGCTCCCTTCTTCTCCGGACGCTGAGCCTGGCTCCAGCGGGGAGTAGGGTAGGAAAGCGTCCCCCCAGCACAGCCTGCGTGGCCGCCTGGTCAGGGTACCTCGGGGCAGGGGCAGCTCAGGGTAATCCTCAGCGGCCCAGGCTGTCCTGCCACTCAGGTGCTGCGACCTTGGCGGGGGTTCTTGAGCCAGACTGGGTCCTGGGCATCACCTGAATGGGGCTCCTATCAAAGCCACAGCGGTGGCGGAGGTTTTCTTTTTCGTCTAGTTTTGTTTAAGTCTGCTCTGTTTCAGAGTTGGTGATCTTTCTTCCTACTTCGTTTCACTGCATGATTATTAGCCTTTTGCTTCTTTCCTGGATATGGATTACCCCTTTCTTAAACTTATTTTCTGCTGGGTCATCACTGCTGTTTCTCTTATTCCTGTATGTAAACTGTAAACTTAGATTCTGCTTGGTCTCAGTTCTCACTGCAAATTGTGTGCTGGCCTATCTTGGAGTTAAACTGTTTGGTGTAAGAGTTGGAGTGCCACTTTGGAAATGGAAAGGAGGTTTCTAGATCTGCTGCCTGCACATCTTTCTGTTTCAAAATACTTGGAATGGAAGGTACAGTCTTTGATAGTTACTGGCTGAATTAATTTCCACCTCCCTCACTCTGGCAAGGGGGTTGCAGACAGTAACAGGACCACTAAGCCTTTGGGCCCTTTTGAAGAAAATATTTGGAAAGCAAAAAGAGCACGACCATTGTTTGTGTACTGTGTGGAAGTTATGCAGAGTTGAAAGCAATATCTGTTGGATCAACTTTACCCAGTCATTCTAAACTTAGGATGGATTGCTTTACTTGGTAAAATACCAAACCTCCTATTGGTGAAGTGGTAATTGTCTTTTCTTAATAAAATGATAAAAAATAAAAAAATAAAAAAAAATCTTTGCTGAGATGGACCCAGCTGGGTCCATTTGCCAGTTATAGAGTTACTCCTTATAGATGCATTTTCCCCCCTTACCTACATATCAGATCTGTTTCTGCTGCTGTTGGGGAATAGGGAGGAAAACATGGGACACTTGTATTTGTGAAAACAAATGGAGGTTTCCATAATGTTGAATGTAGCTTTGAATTTAGGTAAGGAAATTGGAGCTTTACAATTGGTAATTTAATAGAACCTATCACAAAATTGAGGCTACATAGGGAATTAAATGAGTCAAATTACAGAATTAAATTTGATATAATGAAATAGCATTCATTCAAACAGACAGGATTTTGACTTCAGTTTGTAGCTATTTTAAACTCTTGTACTAATGATAGAAATCCAGACTGGGTTTGTAGGTTTTGGTGTGAGTTTGACATATGAAATCTACATTGCCAAGTTATTTTATTCTTATACTGCATGCATAAAATCAGATGCAAAGAAGAATAAAATGATTGTGTTGTATGAATCATATATCCATCTATCCATTAGGGAAAAAAAACTACTGCCATGATATCTTTTACTGAGTATCTAGCTCATGCTGGATTGTAGATGCTGCCCTCCTGTGCTGCCCTACCTGTAGATTTAGTTTATACTGTTGGGACTGCATAATAATGTAAACAGGCATAACAGCTTTAATGAGCTTATATTGATTAAACTGTAGTATGGTATATGTATTATTTAAAGCTATTAGTGGATTTCTGTTTGGATCACTTCTAATACAAACTGGATCCCTGCACTCTGAAATGTCAAAACAACAACAACAACAACCCTCTTGCACTTTGTTTTTCACTGGTGCTGTCAAAACTGCCTCAGATTAAGTTAGTTTTAAATTACATTCAGTACTGCTAAAGTTGAAGCTTCTAACTTCATCATAAATAAGTATATTTCCAGTTATTTGCTGGGACGGAGGTGGAGGGGTAGTGCTGTTTTTCCACATAGCAATCCTAAGGAATGCTGTGTGAAATATATCACCCCACTTGGTAGGAATTTGGTTGATTTCTAAATACTGTTACAGGAGGCTTATAAGAATATAAAAAATAGTATACATTAAAATAATGTAGGTAAGAACATTTATAATTAGAGATTAAATTGAAATGCTCATACATAAAGTCTTATCTAAGTTACTAATTATTACTAGTTACTTGTATTAAGTAAATCAGAGTGAACAATCTTTCTCAGGCCACAATTGTTGTGTTTTATATGTTTTTAGTGTGATGAATTTATACTGTAGCTTTGAAGAAAATCTAATCTTGAACAAAGAGTTTCATTTAGGATTGATTTAATAAGCAATTTATCAGTGGGTAGAAATGGGAGTTCCTGTATAGATATACTTATGCCTCCATGGCTATTACCAGGTAGATAAATGTCACTAATGCCTCAAATTAGCTTTTGTATTTTATCAATTCCATAAGTGCTACACATGTATTTAATCGCCTTAATACAGTGGTGGGGGTTGCTAATGTATGTATGCTGCTTCTCAAGCAAATACTTCAATAGCACATAATGTCTAATGCCAATGGAAGATAGGTTCTAAATTATAAGGTAACTGCTCATAAAAAACCAAGGAAATTTCAAAAGCTGCTTCAAATGGTAAGTGTAAACTTTGGGATTTGTTAACCATAATATCAAGGACTATCTCTTGGTGGCATTGCAAGTGAGGAGTAAAGATTACTGAAAGTACAGTTGACTTGTACCTTCCTTTCCTCTCTGAAATAGCCATACTTTTCATTGGTGTTTTTTTATGCACTTTCTGTGCCAAACCATGTTTAAATGGCTCAGAATCATTTATGTACTTTTGAATAACTGTATTTTTCCGTCAATAAGACGCCCCCATGTACAAGACCCCCACTTTTCCAACCCAAAATTAAGAAATCAATATTTTAAAGATAGTG